TTCAATCATGTGAAAGGGATTTTTCCCCTGGCCTGGGGAAGGGTAGGATACGGCGCCATGTTCTCTTCCACAAATCGTTAGAACATAGACGATGATAACGGCTGGCTCAACTCAAAATCAAAAAAGAAGTGTGAGAGCCCCAAGGCCAGGGGAGGGAGAGGAAACCGTGGCGGGTGGGTGCTAGTTACGGTTTGGCAGAATTTTGAAAGTGTAAGATCACATTAGTAGCCGTCGTTTAGGCGAGAGAGCGCAAAGGAGAGCACCAAAGTGAAGCGATTCAGAAGACGGAGTCCAGGTAGCCTGTAGAGCACGAAAATGCATGAGGCACATTCCACGCTGGACATGTGGGTGGGGCTAATTTGTGTAGTGCGTCCTCCTCGCTTGTGAGCTCCTCCTCCTTTCACCTAAAGAAGGAAACCAACAAGAAGCACAGGTCCAACTGATTAGAGTAGCTATTATAGAGCCCAGCTCGAGACAGCTCACCTGCTGGGATGAATAAAGGACAAAGAGTAAAGCACATAGCATTCAGAGAGCGAGGCTGCGCCACGCTTCTACTTCCATTCAAAACCAAGATGGTATTTTGAATGCGATTCGACATATACAATGACTTGCGGGGGCAGCCGATAATATAATACAACAATAATACAGTAACATATATATAGAACATTCATCAAGATAACATAATATTATATTATATTGATGTTGTAGGGCGGAAGTGGTGTAGTGGCAAGTGGCACGCTTACCACGCGAGCGGTCCGGGGATCAAATCCTGGGTCGTGAGTCGCCCGGGCCAACCAAGCCTTCCATCCCTCCGGGGTCGGTTAATTGGTACCAGACTTGTCTGGGAGGATAAAAACACTGACTTGTACATCGGCTGGCCCCCGCAAGTCATTGTATAGGCCACATCGCATTCAAACGCCACTACGAATGTACAAATGGAAGTAGAATGCGTGCCGCATCCCAAAAAGGGATTGATCAACGGCAAATGCTTTATCCTTTTATTCTTTTATTGATGTATGTTGGTGGTTTTATGAGATTTGAGGTCTTCCTCAGCCAAGGAAAACATAGCTACTGACTAATACTGATGTATTCTTTCGAAGCCTAAAAGAATAACCCTAGAAAACTCAAATTTATTGCTAGAGAAATTCTATTATCACAAACTAAATGACAGACGAGCGATCTACTGACACAGACAGCTACAGTACCGCAGGAATAGTGTGCCGAAATCCTACTACACAATAAATTCAGAGAACGAAAGTTAAACGATACTCAAAGAAAAAACAAAAATTTGCACAAGAAACACGTCGGAGGCAGAAAAACGACTCATATTCAACACATCTTCGATATAAAAGAAGTTATTAGAAAAAAACTCGTCATGAAATGATTAATCTTGAGCTTGGACGTAAAACTTCCGATTAATAGTGAACTCGCATTAGAGATCGGAAATTGCTGAGTGCACTCTGTTTCCGTTTGGGCGGCCATGTCGCAATTGCAGAGTTTGCAATGCACTTGGCACCAAAAGGCATACGTGATATCGATTTTTTTCGAAACAGTCGACACATGCGATCTGAGGGTCTGCAGTCACGACAGGTCCAGCAGCGGAAACAGAGCGTTATCACAGTACAGTTTACCAAGAAAGACATGACCTTGCAGTGAAAAAGAAAAACACGAAATAAAGGAAATATGCAGCTCTGAACGACATTTTCATGCGCGTTTGACTCTGACTATCAGTGGTGCACATGGTACAACGCCCAATCGACAAGTATGACGCAATCGACGAACGAACGACAAAGCTCTTTAGCAAACTCTAGAAATAGTTCGACATAGCTTGGGAGATCCTCCACGGTTCAATCATTAAAGCATTCCCGAAACGCCTCAGCAGGAATCAGTTCATACTTCTTTCGAGTTTGGTCCGAACCGAGTAGTGGCCCCAGTGCACGAATGAGGACTATTGGGAGCGAAGCTTTTAAGTATGGGTCCTCTTATCGATAAGCTGCGCTGTTGCACATTGCCTTTTTAGAAGCTGCACTCACTGGTCAGTGAGTAACCTGTACTGGAAACTGCTTCAGAGAAAGCGATTACGATAAAGAGGGAGCGCATCGTGGAAGCATATGCGCCGCAGGGAGCATTTACTCAGCCACCACGAAGGTGAGGTGTGACGCTTTCACGTCGAAAGGTGCGCTTGGTTGCTGAGCAAGACTTCGGAAGCACTGTCCTCAAAAGCGATCCGCCACTAGTTTGGTTGGTGTCGTGAGTTCCATACGAATCAACTTTGAGGGTCGCGCCTGGTAGGCGTGCGCGGGTCCAGGAGCGCTCGTGCCATCGAAGATTCGAAGCACGCCAGAGAGGCAGAGTGCTGGCTCCCTCGCCTGCCTGTTCAGCGTACATGTTGCCGTCGCGAAGTCTAGCCGCTCGGTCATAGCTTTGTTCTCGTCATTCCACGAGTCGCAAGTATACATGTGGATCCGGCATGCATGCCGTGGACCGCGGGGCTCCAGCCCGTCAACCCCCCCCCCCGTAACACACAGCACCTAGTCTCGGTCCGGGAGTGAGGTCGTAGGCCTTTGCCGTATAGTGTTGCAGTTTTCTCTTTCCTTCGCAGTCAAAGAGTTTTGTCGTACGTGTATCTATGTTTTTTTTCATGTTGTCGAATATCTCAGACGGTTCACATCCGTCACGTATAGTTCCCACACCTCAATAGTGAGTGCGGACCCAACGTTCAAAGGAAGCCCGCCACTTTCAAACAGTGTCCACTGTCAAGTCCCGCCACTTTCAAAAAGGGTCCACTGTCACGTGACACTGTTTGAAAGTGGCGGGCTTCCTTTGAACGTTGGGTCCCGCCACTATTGAGTCGCTGGTACATCGTTGGACTCGCTGGTGCATCGGTCGATTCGCTGGTGCAACGTTCAATTCGTTGGCGCAGTGCTCGGACACAGCGATCCGCTAGCGAAGCAAACTATGACGTCGGCCTTAATGCGCGCGCATGTGGAGAGTGTGATGGCCACAGGCCGGGCTAGTAAATCCACCAGAGAACGCAGGAACGTAGGGCACTAACATAGCGGCGTAGTCCTAGGCAATGCAGTTCATGCACGTCAAGTCTGGGCTGCTTAGACCCTCTGAGTACCCTCGTGGTATGGTGGCGGGCAGTGTGTGCAGCGTGAGTCTCCAATAGCTCACCCTCACGCCGACGTGCTATGTTTCTTAGCATATTATGAGGTACAGGGTTTCCATGCCAGCGCGACACAGGTATTATGTTTAGCTGTATTGCCAGCAGCGGCGCAAATGGAATAACTCGACTGGAGCACGGATTGGCACGGCGCCATCATTGTGTTGCGGTAAACTCGCCCATATGTCCGCGGCCCGCTGCCCGCTCATGACCGGAAACCAACGGTGAGACAAGGGAACCGCTTTCTGTTTTCTGTTTTCTTGACTGATTTCTCTGCTCTTTTCACCGCTGGCGTACGCTTACGCTCCAAAACATACCCTGTAAACCCCTATAAAACCTATCGCTGCCTTCGAAGACATCACTCGTGAAACACTAATTACACTGAAATGTGAATGTGCACATGCTAAATAGTGCGTCTGTGATAAAAACAAGGCTAAATAAATTGGGTATAACCCAAGTGACCGCACCCTCTTTTCCACCGTTGGCTTCAGATTCGGATGGGTTAACCATAGCAGTTAGCGTCACGCAACATGTCCAGCGTACAGCACGCTCGAACTCAGCCAATTATTATACATTTTGCACCTCATAATTTCCATTTTGCAGTTCATAATTTTGTTGACAGGGCGCTTACTGCCGCGAAAGCGCCACAGATCGTCAGCTTGGGTCCTCTACCTCTCCACTATCACTATTTTTCTTGCGAACGCCTTTTCTCGTCACGTGTTTCGCCTTTGAAAGAAATCCAGGGTAGATGGTCTCAACTTGCAGGATATTTTTCATTCCACCTTTCGCACGATTTCCTGAGGGTGTGGATACATTATACCCATACTTGCCGTACATTCATTATCGAGCTCGATACCAGGATAGAGCGAATTTTTGCAGGGTGTCAAATAAAGATCAATTCCAATGCTTTGTACCATAAGACTTAGGAAATTCGCTACCGAAAGACGTGTATGCTGGAAATATCGCTACGAAAGCCTTAATGCTTACGTTTTGCTGTATACTACTTCCTTTACTTACTTGAAGATTTTGGTTGAAACGCATATTTGCGACGCAGTTCTATTACGACTAGATTGCGGTGACTGCTGAACTTGCTTGAAAGAATATGTTTATTCAAGCAAATTCAATTAGCAAACTAGTCTCTTTTGAGAATATCATTTACTAATATTAACTAATTATCTGGAGACGTCCCACTCAGATATGTTGTTCTCCTAGTGAGAAAACATATATCTGCAAAATCATGGAATAAGAAAAGTCAACTTTTGTAGACAAAAACATCGTGCGCCACCATGTAGCGGTACGCAAAATGTGAACCTCAGCGGTGCTCCCAGGAGTTCTCCCCCTTTCTCCCGAGTTGTTACCACCCAAAACGTTACTCAAGTTGTGGTGGTACATGTTTGCACTACTGGTAGTCAAAGGTTTATATCTTCGCACCTTGAAGAACTAAAAAACTAGTCCAGATTTCCTGGCTGATTAGTACCATATGAGGATCAGTGTCAGAATGATTTTCACGAACTGTGGTGTTGTCCGTCGCCACCCTAGAGCCTTAGTCAGGAACTATGAATCATTTCTTAATTTTATAAGTTTGTTTGTTATGTTTGCAAACAAGGCCCCCCAAAAAAAAAACAAGGCAGAAAGAAGAGATAGAAAGTGGATTATCTGTGATTCTCCACCCGGTCTATTCTGTTCCTGTCACCAAACGTAAGTGTCGGAAGGGTTTTCTTCCTTGAGCTTCCTAACAAAATAAACGAACGCAGCATCCTTTGCCCTCAACCCGCTCGCTGATTTCCGGTCTTCCCATATAATTTCCAAGCTTGTTCTTGGTAAATGCCCAAGACTATGATAAAACTGATGGAGAAAGTACGTTAATAGAAAGCGCCGATTCAGTGAATATTGATGGCGAAAGTACGGAGGGGGAAAGGACCACACCGGAAAGGATAGTCGGTGAGACGACATCTGGACAAAGCACATACGGCGACAGAATCAAAGGTGACAGCACGTACGGGTTGATGACGTTTGGTGAGAGCACATACGGTGAGAATACGTAGGCGTTCATCACAGCCGCCGAAAGTACATTTGGACCGAGCACGTACGGCGAGAAGATCAGCGGATTGCCCACCTAGAAGAATGATAGGAAAAACTGTTGTAAATCAGGAACTGAGGGCAGCAAATAGTGAAGAAAAGCAAACCTGCGGTGAGATAACTGGTGGACTCAATAGAAGCGGCGAAAGCACATTGGGTGAGAAAAGACTTGGTGATAACGTCACTGGACCAAGTATATTGAACTGAAATCCAGAAGAAATAACTCTGCGATATCTTTTTATCCGTGTTTCATTACACGCGGGAAGATTGGGCGCGGCTCAGAGGCGCGTGCGGATGTGTTGAGACGGAATTGTGGTTGTTAGCTGTAATAACGACCTCAGAACATAAGCTCACTTTCGATAGTCTAAATTACAGTCAAAAGCTCCATTGGACTCAAAAGGAGCCGCCCAGAGTAACAATTACTCTACCATTCAACGGCGGTGCAACCACGTCCACGCACCATAGTTCGCGCCTTACCCGGCCTGTTCTGGTAATATAAAACGCATGCCGTGGGGCACCAGACTCACGACTTACCGTATTGATCGTCGGAGCGAAAGCGTATGGTGCTAGTGTGGTATGTCGGAAAAATTGAACTTTGATGGTTCGTTTGTATCGTCGGTGTCGATGGAGCGCTTTCGGATCTTCAGCCATAAGACGAACAGCATTCTTCAGCGCCTCATCCTTTTCCAGTTGACTCATCGAGTCGAACTCGTCGATGTCGAATGGCAAATCGGCCATAGTTGTGTTCACGATACCTAGCAAAAGTTATTTATTGAATAAATACTCTCAGGCACTGTGCACGTAAACCAACTTCGTTTTCCCTGTTGAGGTGTGCTGTGTGTGGTTATAGAAGACCATGTGCAAAGTTATGTTCAAACAAAAGAAGTTTCTGGAGGAACAGCCTCTTGAAAAGCTCATCGCCTAGGTAGCTGATAACAGACGTGAGAGTTTTGAAGGCAAATCCCGGGATGAAATCGCTCTTTATGAAAAGGCGGAAGCGAAAGGGATCTTGGAAATGTAGTGTGGCAGGCGCGGCCAGAAGCACATTTCGAAAATCCAAGAAGGAGCTCGGTCAGGTTCAAGCGTTCAACATGTTGACACGCGTGAGTTGCTCATCAGTAACAGTTGTGACAGTTTTGAAGGTGCGAGTCGGGATTAATTGATGCGGTTGGAAAGTGCGGTTCAGACAAGGAGTGCATTGAGAAAACTAGTTGGGAGAAAAAGCAAAAAGCACCATAGAAAACACTAAACTACCATTATAAGGCCAGCCGTAGTTTGACGAAGAGACACAGCGAGAGACACCCCTATTTCAGCCGCATTCCACCTTGGGATGGCTAGGAACGGCGTGGACGAGTTACTCAAAACCTGCTCCAGATGCTCCACCGCGAACGGCACAACGCTGTCGCAACTGCGCCCGTGTTTTTCTTGCAGCGTCACGTGAGCCGAAAGGAAAAGGTGGGACTCGCCGAAAAGGTGTGAAAGTATGAGCGACTAGAGCTTCTGGCGCCCTTGGTCGCGCGCTTTCAGGCCGGAGGTCAGAGGTCAAACCTTCAGGCTCGTAGCCTGTCTTACTGCGATTTGGACATTTGACAGATGAGGACGTTGAACCGGGACGTGCTTTGGATCGCGAGCGCAATTCACTATAACCATTTATTTACGTATTAGTGGATTTTTTTTGTTAAGTAGAAGCTATATTGCGTTGACTATATTTTTGGTACCTCATGGAGCAACTTGCTTCTTTGCTGCCCCATTGTTGATTTGCACGTATTGATCTCGTGCGAAGGCTTCAATAGCCAAAAAAGGAGGTATTCCGGAATCTGCAGTGAGGATCAAGCACGCATCCGAAAGTAGCTGTAAGGTCTGTTGAAGGGAGCGTGGTAGCTGGAGGCTCGGTTTTGCAGGGATCCATTTCTGAGGTTCCTAGTTGATAAGTAAGTATATAAAGTTTGTGTTCACTACTTCACTGTTTGTGTGAGGGACTCCCTCATCAATTAGATGGGATGCCATGTTTAATTGTGGGAGAGGCTGCTCTCATTTGGAAATAACAATCGGTTTAAAGAGACAATTGTTATATGCCGTGTGCGTGTATCCGTTCACTGCTACCATCAATATCGCTGGAAAATTTAATCCTGACGTATTTTCGTCTAGATGGGAGTGTAGTGAATTCAATGAGCCGCTGATTCGTGGCACGAGGAGAGCTGGGCGCCGCACGCGTTTATGCTGCGTAGTCATTATCTTGCGTCCTGCGGCAGGGTAATTGCGCGAAGCATGCTGCATTTGTACGAAGTTATTACGGTACGACAAAGCGATTTTATCTGACGATATAAACACGACCCCCTCCCCCCTCCTCTGAATAGCCTGTAGCAACGGAAAACGCTAGGAACCTACCGTTTTCTCCATACAGTTGCAGCAGCTGATCTTTCGTGAGGAACGAGTACTGACGTCCTGCGAGCTCACGTCGTTGGTCTGTTTTCAAAGTCCGCTCAAGTCCAAGGAAAGCGTTGTCAATCGCGTTTGTGATAGATATCAAATCCTTATCCAATCCAACTAGCTTCATGTTCTTCATCAGATTAAGCGATTTTTCCACGACTTCGTTCACACCTAAATGGAAAATCTAACAATGCTCAGATGTTTGTGGCCAATAAGCAAGCGTAATAATTCAGGAAGTGCTTTTCAATAAACAAATGAGTCCCATAGAGGTTTAATAGGGGTCGCATCAACTCTAGCGTAAGCCTCTCATAATTAGCTGGTTTTTATTATATTGTTGAAGTCTTGAGAAGGCTCGAGATTATGTGAAAGAGTCCCTGACTGACCAGCTACATCCATAACCAGCTCCAGTATCGCACTTCGATCGTTTGAATTGAGACCGGACTTCTCCAACACCTCAGGAATCGGTAACACACTGTTGCCGGTGTCGTCCTTGTAGAACGGAAAAAGATCTGGAGAGAGCAGCGATCTGAATGTATGGACATATCGGTTTTATATATATTCAAATACATACAAAAAAATCGTCTTTTTTCAAACTCGTAGCGACGACAGATTTCACTAAGCACCCAGAACTTTAGGAGAAATCTGCTAAATGACTCGATAAACGATACAATCTTACTTGGAAACACTGTACTTGTTCGGCAATAACGGTAGTAAACGAGGCGAGAGAAATTGTGGATTCACATCCTTCGTATGTCTGGACACCGCATCCACTAGCCCATAAACGCTATCGTCAACGGCACGTTCCGGCATCAAATCACGAAATCTTAATAATCACCACCTTAACTGAAGGCGACCTCCACGATCAATCAAATAAGCTGATTGTCGGCGAAAAGAAAGGAGGCAAATTAATTAAGCAGCAGGGACGAGTGAAGAAGAAACTGATAACAATCCGGGAAACCCGGCGCCAAAATTTGAATGATTCCAGAAAAAGTGCATACAGCGCGAATGGAGTAGGAAACCGGATGAGTTTCGCGAAGAATTAGTTACTCTTTATATTCGCAGACTTATGGCCGCTAGTGGTGTTATTTTTCTAATATCGTCGCCACTGCAAGCCACCTCTACTAAGTGATGACCTTCAGAAGGTC